GGGAACCTGTCCCAGTGCTCCCCAGACGTGGCTCTTGGATTTAGGTGTTGCTGTTAGATGCAGAATTACACCCCAATACTTTAGGAACAACTAACAGTGTTGTAAACAAACTCGGGCTGCTTCACTGAGCCGCTTTATGTGGCAGAACCACTGGCAGCACCTGTTACACAAATGTCGAGAAACAATGAATTGGAAGATACAGTTTTCTTCATTTCTGCATACAAATCCAGCTGAGTACAGAGTTACACCACTATGTCCCTACTCCTTCAAGCACAGACAGAGCTCCTGGCCTGGGATTATTCGTATTCACTCCCCTCCTGGGTGCCTGACTCGTGGTGGGGCTCCGGAGGAGCGTTACGACCTGCCACAGGGCTCAGAGGCGAATTCAGCTTCCCCCAAGAAGAGTTCCTGTTTGCTGCCGGTGGCTCTGCCCCGACTGCGGGCATGAAGGGGCTGCCAGCCCTCCGTGCCGACAGCAACGGGAACGTTCTAACGCGGCCGTGCTAGCGCTCCGGTGCCGCAGCAGTGGCGGGATGAACCGTACGGGTGTACCGTTAAGGCAGCGTGTCCAGGCGTGCTGCCCCGTGCAGGGGGGACCAGGACAGGCAGGTCAGCGAGCGCTTAGGGCTGGGGAGTCGAAGGATCGCAGAATTCAGGATGGGAAGAGGTAAATGTGCCCAAAGTACTGAGTCTGTTGCTAGCCAGGGAACAGTCATTCCCTGCAGCACATTCTGACAAACAGGATGATTGTTCTTCATCAATGCTTCATTACCACTTGGATGTTTTCCTTCCTAGCACACACACTTTTCATTTTGAAAAACAAACAAAACCTGCCCTAAATCTCAAGCAGTGACTAAGAGGCAACCATCAGGATGGTGAGTCTCATTAACAGCATCAGGCACACAGAAATGCGCGTTGGAACTCAGAACCCCGTACGCTAAGGTAGCATTCTGCCTGCAAAATCAGCTTCTGCAGGGCATCAGAAACGAGTGTGATTCCTTTTTCTGTCTTCCTTACTACTTAGGATACATTTGGGGAAGAGAGAAGGTTAGAGAAATTACCTAATGACCATTTTTACTAGAACTAGTTTTGGTGTTACCTGGAGATGGTGTAACATGTACTGTGGTGAGAACGGCATCGCTATGGCAACCCCCTAACGAATCACTGAGGTACGGCACATACACACTGACATGGGAACACGCACATGAGGCTTTTCTTGAACGACAAAAACATCTCCAGATTTTCTGTTTTAAACATGATTTCGGCATAGGCTGAATATAAATAATTTCCTTCCCTGAATATTTACATTTTCATCTAACTATAACTGCTTTAACCCTGCACAAAGTCTACCCGGGCAAGAGTGACGTGTGTTTGGAGCGAGCAGCACACACGGAGCTTCTGCAAACGAAATGAACAGGCTCTGGTGTCCTCCCCCCACACAAGTGCTGCACACTGAATGATACCAGCCTTCCCAAAGTAACTGCCGTTATTTTTTCATGTTTTAATTGTTATATACCAGTTTACATATCAAGTATATATAAATGTTAAATGTTCACATTAAATACCAAAAGTCTGATTATTCGAGCACACGGAAATACAGAAATGTTGTATGCTGAATCGCTGCATGTTAACTAAAGGAATGACTAAGAGCTCACATTAAACTGTATGCCACGGTTAATTTTCTATCGCATCATAATCTTCCTGTTCTGACACAAGCCTTTGCGCTCATTCTGCTCTCATGCTACTTAGCCCATAGCGAGGGAATACAACCTGGAATACACTTTTGGCACCTTTTCCCAACTGAGCGACAGCTTTGGTCATTTGTTTGTAAGAAGGGGTGCAAAGAGTAAATAAATATGCATAAGCACCTTTTCAGACTGGAAGGGATATCAACATACCATCCCTGAACACGGCATGAATGCACCGCCGAGCAGCTGCAACGCCCTGCTCAACACAGGGCACGCGTCCGGGAGGAGGGAGGGCTACACCCGCCAGTACTCCCAGGCTTCACCAGACTGCAGGACTCTCTGCTTGGGGCGCTCTCCACTCCTTCCCTCGGGAGGGTGGGAGAGACTCTGAACACGACCTGGGTTGGTTGGGATGTTGGAGGGACTCATGTTCCAGCTTCTGCCTCAAGAACCGCAGAAATTTCCTATGAAGCTGCCCAAGGAAACAATTTCCCATGAGAACCGCAGGACTTGCAGAACCGCAGTTTCAGTGACAAGCACTTACATTTCCTCCTATTCTGTTTGTGTGGGTTTGGGCACTCGAACCCCAGCTGGAAGTCTAAATAAGGAATGGGTCTTCCCAGATTTCAAACCCAACGCCAGTATGGTTCTGCAGGATGTGTAATGTGAAGCGTGAAGGCCCAGGGGTTTCACTGCAAATCATGAGGATTTTTGGTCAGACCCCCCTAAGTTTGGGTTTTCAGTTAGTTCCCAAGACCGATTTGATGCCAAAACCAAGATTTGCATTCGCTAGAAGGGCAGCAGCTGTAACTGCTGCTGGTGTCCTCACCGTTCCACACAGCGATGGTTAGAAAAAGGAAGAACAAACCAAGGTTTGAATTAGTACAACTTGTACAGTTTCTGTGCCGGGTCTGGTTGAGATGAGGAACAGAAAGGTCTGCTGGGATCAGGGGAGGATGGTAGGTTAGTAATTACGGCTCTTGCTACCTGTTGTGTTTACTAATCAAAGGTCTAATTGCTGTGCTCTATTTTAATTAACAATGTTCTTATTTTAATTAGTTACTTTTCCTGCATACATTAGCACCGAGAGAAACCACTGAAGACACAATAATGCAATGAAGAGTTTGAAGTTAAGCTTTTAAAAATGTTTTAACAGTTTCCAAGTGTTTAATAACGAAGATGAAAGCTGTTCCTCAGATGTGTTCATTCCAGTCCTGCTGCCTCTATAGCACGTCTTCCATGGCCTAGAGAATTTCCTGGTGAGCAGCAGAAGTAGAGCAAGAGTAATAAAACTCACTAAACCTCCCTCTTCCCTGCTCAAGCCCGACCAAAACAAAACAAGATTGTGAAACCACTTGCCACCTTTTGTATTTTTATTGTGCGTTTCCTACGAGCTTAACAATACCACACGGGACATAGGATGCCGCAGTGAGAGACACCGACCCCAAAAGTCTTTATATTCTAATCCAAACAGACAAAAATGAGATAGAATAGTATTACCTCGTTACACAGAAGGCAAACCCCAGAAAGTGTCTTACATCACGCAGAACAAAGGCAGAAACTGCAGCAAATCTTCCAAAACCATAAAAAGTCCATCAAAAACACGTGTTTTTGGCAAGCCTGTAAGAGATTAAAAATTGTATGAATCTACTTAGTGCTTGTCAATTTTAAATGCTATTCGAATACAAGTTTTAGTGAGTTCCCAATTCAGAAGACATTCAAGTGTGAAATTCCAACAAGTAATAGGTACACGGGGAATAATCACACCTTTTTCCTCCTTCAGTGTACGCAAGTTGCCAGAGCAGCTTGTCAGAGATTACTCCTCTTGCTTTCACGCACGGATGTGTACAACTTCATGAAGTTACTCTCGGAGGATGAGAGTAAGTTGTCAAGATCATAATCAACTTCAAAGGTGGGTCTCTTTCCAAAAATTACAAGAGCAAGAAATACAGCAAAGTGGGCGGTGAGTCCCCATATCCTGAATGGCATTTTGTGGTCACGGTCGTGGTACGTGAAGCAGTGCATCCGGCTCGGGCAGCCCGACGGGGTTCGGTAAGGCAAGGGCTTGTAGGTTAAGGGCTTAACAAAGTACTCCAAGGGCACCACAAACACATCGCTCACTTCATCGGGGTTAGGAGTGGCCTGGAATGTGTCCTCTATAAATCCTACAACTGGTGTGACCAGGTGATTCATCTAGAAGAGTCAAACAAAGCCCAAACACTAAGTCTGTACCAAGCAGAAGAATGTTCTTTACTTCAGAAACATTGCAGATGTTACCAGGGGAGTACAAGAGACCCATGAAACACTGATGACTGTAGAGAAACTCAGCCCCTCTGATGGCAAGGTGCTTATACTGCAGTTTAAACATACTGTAATCAATTTTAAATGTTGTGTTTGTTAAACGTGACTTACTAACATTCTCTTCGTCCTGTGTAACCCTGGAGCAGTTCCCAAGGTTTGTCAATCTGCTACAGCAATAAAGACCCGTGCATGCTCTCCCACTAGTCCTCCTTATTTACCTTGGTGGTTCAGAGTTCAGCTCATATTTTCCAAATCACCTGTGCTTTATCATACTGGGCACACTCCGTCCAAGTCAGAATCACTTGGAACCAGAGAAAACAAATACAGAGAAGACCAAGTAGAATCCGAGAGGTACAGTTCTGTGGGCCAAACCCACATGATGTGAGGCACGTGCTGGAAAACACTGAAAGGGTTGTAGAACCTAAACCGATCCGTTTTGCATACAGCCTCTGAGCTATGTGCTTAACGTCAGCTGTACAGAAACTGTAATTGAAGTTCAATAAAACATTCTGCAGTACAAATCCAATCCCCGTGCCCCAGCCCCCTCGCCCTCTCCGTGGCTCTCCGCTACACTCGCGCCAGCTCAGCACTGCTGGCGCTCCAGTCTGGCCGCACCGGGCACCAAACGTGGTCTCGCCAACACCAAGTACAGAGCCAGAATCTCTTCCCGTGCTCTGCTGGCAGCACACACCATGCACCTTAAGAAGCGGCAGTCATTTAGTTACGGGTTTGAATAGGTCATTATCAACCTTACAGAAGAAAATAACCCAGCCGACTTCCTAACGACACACCGACTCACTCTGCTTACAGCTTACTTTATCAATCCCCGGCACGAGCCTGCAGATGACTTCCACCTTCTCTGGCTGGAGTCCCACTTCTTCTTTGGCTTCTCGGAGAGCAGTATCAATTTCATCTTTATCAATTGCTTCCCTTTTACCTCCTGGAAAACACACTTCCCCTGGTGATCTCCTCAGCTAGAATTTAAAGGAGTAGTACTGTTAAACGTAACGACTTTCACATTTCTCGGATCCACAGAGACATGTTCATATTGCGAATCACTTTACGTTTGATTGGTCTTCCCAGTCAAAGCAGCTGGGAATGGTGGTCAAGAGGTTTCTGCAGACCAGAAGCAACGTGTCTTATCAAGAGCTACGCAAGAAGAATTGGGGCCTATACCCCAGTAACCCTTCAGCCCTCACTGTCAGAAATGCACATACCACTGGTACAGCATGGTGTAATCCATACCATACGTGCTGGTTTAATGCCCCAAAATTACTTTTTTCGTCATCTCGTTCGTGTAAGAGACTGACAGATGAATCTAGACAGACAGCCTGAATATTGAGGTTAAAATACTGGACGCAAGAGTAAGAACTCCTGACATACACATCTAAATAACGCACCTTTAAGTACATTACAGTAGTAGGCTCGTGCGCCAATTATCAGTAAAGAGCCCCTTTACAATCAGTTTATCAGCTAAGGGACTGTCATTATTAGGGTCTTAAAATTTCTAAGCAAGATCCCAAAAAACTTCAACCATTCAGCAGCAGAAAAACAGCCCAGTAAATAACCTCTGAACACAGGCAGCTGACCGGGGGCAGGGGAAGAAAACAAGAGTTGTGAAAGGAAACAAAATGCTGGCAGAAGAGTCAGGGGGACTCAGGCTGCTGCCTTTGCTTCCACCGATGAAGGGAAGAGTGGCATCAAATGCAGGTGGGAAAGTCGCATTAACAGAAACTGCACCGCACGGTCAGTTCTCTTATTTCAGCCATAGTAAACAATCAAGGCTTCTGATCTGGAAATCGTCTTTTGCTGTCACGGGTGCCGGGGTATCCTGCGTTTCTCTGGCGTGCAGACACCAGCCCCACGGGTGGTAGGAGATTCTGCAGGCGGGCTGCCCGCAGC